CATTCACTGTTGAGTGTATCTGTAGTATCAGGAATGGGTATATTTAAAGGGCTTCATGAAGGCCACTGGAGCTTCACATTATTATTTTTTTTTTTTTTAGTTTGGATACCATTAGTTTATTATAAAAGAGAGACATGAAAATTATTTACATGATGAAAGATTTCACAACTTCACTGGAATGGGCAGCTTCACTTCATGCCATTTTAATAATGATTTCAGTCCACATACTTTCCGAGAATGTCACCATCTCTAAATAAGAAATAATCCTTGTCATCTAGAACTACTTTGGTGCCTCCATATTCTGGGAGAAGAACTTTATCTCCAACTTTCACACTAACTGGTTGAATCTCTCCACCCTTTCCTTTAGAGCCCGATCCAACAGCTACTACTGTTGCTTGCAACACTTTTCCTTGAGATTTTTCTGGAAGCATAATACCTCCTTTGGTTACAGTTTCAGCTGCGCTCCTTTCAACTAAAACTCGGTCAAAGAGGGGAAGAAACTTTCTAAACGCCTGCCCTGCCATGACGCCGACCGCCGCAGTTGGTACTCCGCTCTGGAGCTGCCGCCTCTGCAAGAAGACCCGCAGTATGACCCTCGAGCTTCACATTATTTTATAGTGTGTTTCCCTAGGTGTTCCCTGGCTCTTAGGAATTGGTGGTATGAGTTTTGGGAGGACCAGTACCACACAAGAGGCATAAGGTGCTGTGCTAGAGAGTTGCCTAGCAGAACATCAGAACAAAGCTGGCTGTTAGACCCTATCAGTGTAGCTGTCTTCCCCTCCTCCCTCCCTCCCTTCCTCTTTTCTTTTCTTTTTTGGGGGTGTAACGCTTCCTTTATACACATATTGGGGATGTTAAAAGTTACTGATGCCTGATTCCTCTCCTGCATCCTCAAGCCCTACCATGGGGGAGAAAAAGATGAATGTCATTTTGTTTGTAATGCCTTAACCAGCTGTATGACTGAAATGATCCTGATAAGCAAAATTACATCCAAGGAGGATTTCTAAGGAAAATGAAGACTCATTTGTTATATAAGAATCAGTGTCTTTGGGCGCCTGGGTGGCTCAGTTGGTTAAGCAACTGCCTTCGGCTCAGGTCATGATCCTGGAGTCCCGGGATCAAGTCCTGTATCGGGCTCCCTGCTCAGCGGGGAGTCGACTTCTCCCTCTGACCCTCCCCCCTCTCATGCTCTCTCTCTCTCTCTCTCATTCTGTCTCTCAAACAAATAAATGAAATCTTTTTTTTTTTTAAAGATTTATTTATTTATTTTGAGAGAGTGAGAATGAGAGAGAGAGAGCGCACATGAGAGGGGGGAGGGCCAGAGGGAGAAGCAGGTTCCTCGCTGAGCAGGGAGCCTGATGCGGGACTCGATCCCAGGACTCCAGGATCATGACCTGAGCCGAAGGCAGTTGCTTAACCAACTGAGCCACCCAGGCGCCCACAAATAAATGAAATCTTAAAAAAAAAAGAAAAAAAAAGAATCAGTGTCTTTGTGATTCTGGGATCTTCCTGTGAAGATGTTATGTTTTTTGAGGAATTTGTTCCTAATTACTGATCTAATTAAAGCACATTAAACTTAGTTATTGCAATTTGAGAAACCAACATGCTTTCTTACGAAAAAGGCCCATGCACAGAAAGTGCTCCATCTTTCTCCTAAGATCTGCGATCCAAGGAGAGATATCTAAACATAAGATAATAACATCTATTTATTTAATAACATAGGCATAAAGAATGTCATGTAGTCCTCACAGGACCACTTTCAGGGAGATTTTATATATTGGGAAGTGTGCTTATGAGCTCTCCACCCAATATCTGCTTCCCTAAGATTCCCTATCTCAGTAATTGACTGTACTATTCATCCAGTTGCTTTTAAAGTTAGAAACCTGGTAATTTTCCTGTGATATCTATCCCTCCTTCTTTCATTCTCCCATATCCAATTCTATAGCATGGAAAATTTACTTCCTAACATCCTTGAGAATCTATTTGCTGTAGTCCAAGTGAACTATTTCATTGTCTTTTGTTGCAGTATCCTTTAGTCTCTCCTATATTATCAATTCTTGTCCCCCTCTTAATTCATTTTCCACTCATTAGCTAACATGAACTCTTTATTTTTTTTAAAGTTTATTCATTATTTTTTTTGAGTGTCTCTATACTCAATGTGGGGCTCAAACTCATGACCCCAAGATCAAGAGTCACATGGTCTTCTGAGCCAGCCAGATGCACCTAACATGAACTCTTAAGTCTGACCTTGTCACTCTTTGCTCAGAACTCTCTAGTGCCTTCCCAGTGCTCTTAGAATAAAATCCCTCACATGAGCTCTGTGGATCTGCACCACTAGTCTTTCCTACCTCTCCACCTCTTGCAACCAACTCCCTTCCCCTTTCTTCTTTCCAGCCACACTGGTCTTTTTGTGCTGCAAACTGGCCACATTTCTCCCATCCTCAGGGCCTTTGCACAAACTCTTCCTTTGCCTTAGGATTCTCCCCAGGCCTGCCCACATCTTCATCCCTTGTTCCCCAAAGCTAATGCCTTATCCCCTAGATTTCATTTTAAAAAATCTCTTACTTCTCTTTCCAAACAAATCTATATCGGATCTCCCTGTTATTTGCTCTTTCTACTCCCTATTTCTCCTTATTAGCATTTACCACTCTTCTAATTTATAATTACGTAGTTCTTTTCATTTAATTTAATTTTCTTTAATTGGAATAGGTAATACATCCACTTGGTAAAAAATCCAAATTGTACACAAGGCATAGAGTAAAAATTCTCTTCCCTGTCCCTCTATATCCAGTTGTTCTCCTTACTAATAACCACTTTTAACATTTTGAATATCCTTCCAGAGATATTTTCTGAGTAGACAAGCAATTCTGTACATAATATTCCTCTTCATTTTTTGCCTTCTCTTTATTAACATAGATACTATATACATTTTTCTGTACTTTTTTTTTTAAAGATTTTATTTATTTATTTGAGAGAGAGAGAATGAGAGATAGAGAGCACGAGAGGGAAGAGGGTCAGAGGGAGAAGCCGACTCTCTGCTGAGCAGGGAGCCCGATGCGGGACTCGATCCCGGGACTCCAGGATCATGACCTGAGCCGAAGGCAGTCGCTTAACCAACTGAGCCACCCAGGCGCCCTCTGTACTTTGTTTTTATCAGTTAATAATGTATCTTGACAATTCTTCTATGTCAATATGTAAATAGTTGCCTCTTTTCATGTACCAGATAGTATGGGCTTACCATAAAATTTTAACCTCAATTATTAGACATTGAAGTTGTTTTCAGGCTTTGGTTATTACAAACAATGCCTCATTGAATAACTTTGTATGTAAAGTCATTTCCCGCAAATATACCTATAGAATAAATTCCTAGAATTGAAATAAGGGAATTAAAGGCTTTATGCATTTTAAACTTTGGTAGTTATTGCCAAACTGCTCTCAATGGAGGTTGTATCAATTCACATTCCCACTAGCCACAGATGAAAAATACATGTTTCCTCACAACTATGTTAGTGAAAATTTTTTTCTTTGCCATGTAAGAGGTGGAAAGTATCTCTTGGAAACTTTAATTTGCATGTTTTTTCTTCCTTGCAAAGTTATATTTTTATGTTTAACAGCCATTTGTATTTCTTATTTAGTGTGCTGTTTCTTTATAAATTTTGCTTATGTTATTAATGTCTGATTTCCTCTCTCTACTTTAAGGTCCGTGCTGTGGGTGCAGGGATCTTGTTAGTTTTGTTCATTACATGGTTAGTTCCAGGTACTAGAATGAATGAAGCTCAAGAAATGCCTGGCTCACGTCATGCAGCAGTCAAGTTCAGAATTCTTGTTTGATTCCAAAGACCACATGTTTTTCCACGATCACTCACGGGAGAAACTAAGCTTTTAACTCACCACCCCAGGGGCCTGATGGGTAATGTAAAACGGCTTAAGTGTGTCAGGAAGCGGATTGTGGCAAAATGGCGAACCTAAGTACAGTCGCAGCGGTTTTTCACATCTGCTTTACTGACATTTGGGAATGGAAGCCCACTGTCGGATTTTTACATGCCCCGAGGCCGGGTTTCTGGCTTTCTTGTGAAATCTCCTGGTTTTTAAATATTTCCAGTCAAAACAAGACTGCGCTCACATGCGGCCCACCGGCAGCGGATTTGCAAATTCTGGCGTAGAGAGTGGGAGCCTGATGAGGCGAATACCTCAGTTAGACAGTGAAAGCTAAGAAACGAGGAGGTTTTGTGAAAGTCGAGAATGGGGTTCTGTACCCTAGGGTTTGAGGGACAGGATTCCCGGAAGGACTGAAATAAACGCAAAGTGGCGGAAGGATTGCGCGGTCTTCCCGGATGTGTCCGGTCATTCCGGCCAGCGCGATCCCGAGTTTCTCCAGCAGCGCCCAAGACAACGTCGTGGGGGCGGTCAGGGTTGCGTGGAGGAAGAGAACTGCCTGTGTATTCCCTCACCGGGCCCAACAGCGTCAAACCGTCGTGAAGCACCACCCGACTCTTAAGCCGTTTCCTGAAGGCCCTCCCAGGTGAAGCGTTCAGGCCCGCGATCTCTTTAGTTCCCCGCTCAGGCCCCTCCCAACTTCCCCAGTGCCACGACTTCCGTTTGCCCGGTCGTCTGGGAAACCAGCAATTTCCGGCCGCGAAGCGGTGGGCGGAGCCAAGATGGCTGAGGAGAGACTTGTGACGGTGAGCGACGAGATTGTTGTTAGGGTCCCGGCCCCAGGGCCAGGCCCGGCGGAGCAGAAAGACCAGGCAGGTTGGCGGGCGGCCTGTGTCCTACGCAGCTGTCCCTGGGGAAGTGCGTAGCGGGCTCTGGAGCCGCTCGGGGTGCGCGGGGCGACAGGGTCCCGCTCCTGGGAGCTGGTCCGCCTGGGCAAGGCTGACTTCTTTGCAGCGCTGGGCCTGTGCTGGGATTGTGGTCCCTCTTGGGGTGCGCTGGACGGAAAGGGGAGATTTTCATCAGAAATGGCGCTTTTTCTAGTCCCATTTTTTCTGTCTCACGAGGTTTGGAAAGGAAGCACTACCGTTTGTGCGGAGACGGTTTGTGTTTAATCCCCTGGATTAGAAATTGAGTATGACAAAGCCTGGAAACTTTGAGCGTCACTGCCTTCTGCCGGTGGGTCGGGGCCATGTTTTTTCTCTGTTGTAATTTAGGAAAGTGCTGTTTTGGGATTCAGCTGAAGCTTGAGTTAGGCATTAATTAAACTCCACAGAGCTGCTAATAACAAAGGAGCCCAGATGAATTCGGGATAACCCAGTGGTAGTTATTTGTGAAGTGTATATTTATAATTGGATCTAATTTCTGTGACGTTCTCAGTGTGAAACCTTGTTTACGTTGTTTTAGTGTTGGGTTTCAAAGCATGTTCTACTCATTTGTTAGAATGACTTTATTAGTTATTTATTTGGAATGTATTGCCCTTTGAAAAACGCTTTGCGAAACAGACGAAATAGCAGTTTCTGGCTGACTTTTACAACTTAGTTTTGGCCGTTAAGGAGCAAGGGTAATGCTGTTGGGCGGAGGGGGGGGGAGTTGTTTTCTGTTCTCTTTTCATATCCAGAGAGGTCAAATTATTATTATTGTTATTTTTTACGATTTTATTTATTTGAGAGAAAGAGAGAGAGAGCATGAGCAAGGGGGCAGAGGGAGAAGCAGACTCCCTGCTGAGCAGGGGGACCGAAGCGGGACTCGATCCCAGGACTCCAGGATCATGACCTGAGCCAAAGGCAGTCGCTTAACTGACTGAGCCACCCAGGCACCGGATAAATCAAATATTTTTAGTGTAATCATACAACTCTGAATACAGGGAAGGAGGCCCAAAACAAAAATTTTTGTTAAGCTATAAATTAAAAAAAATTAAATAGCCTGATTAATGTTACTGGGTTTTAGATATTAGAAACATATCAAAGAAAATACTTCACCCAAATGTAAAGTTTACTGGTAACACAACGCTATAAATATAGCTTATATCTCTACCTGCAGTGATAGGTGTTTATAAATAGAATATGAACTTGATTTCTGTGATGGCAGAATTGTCCTGTACTTTTGAATCTAATAGTGTTTTAAAGATAATGGCTGTTTTGTTTCAATATGACTTTAGCACTTGAGCCTGAAGTTAACTGATTATTTTCATTATTGTCAAGTTTATTGCTAGCAGTGTTATATTTGTAGTAATTTCATCTTTTTATGTTACTGCTGCAGGGAGATTTGAATTTCTGCCCATTTTGGAAGTGATCTGGTATCTTGTAATAAAATTAAAAGGGCCCAACAATCCCATTCACTCAATAGACTAGTATCCCACTGAAATAAAAGCAAACTATAAGCATATAGTACAAGGGTATTCATTGCAGTATTGTTTATAGTGGCAAAATGCTGGAAACAAGGTGAATATCCATTAATAGGGTAATAGATGACTTCTGATACTTCCATTCTGAGGATTATTATGTAGCCATTAAAAAGTGTTAGAACTATATATGTTGATGTGGATGGTATACATTTTAAAAAAGCTTGACGTGGAGTGGAGTGTTAAAAAATAAAATTTAACTGAGTATTAGTTATTTAAAGATCTTACTGGCTTTATTCAATGATTCAAGAATCAGGCAGCATACATTCTGTACAAAATGAAAGGTTTCATAGGCGGAAAGGAGTGGGAACAGGGAAGTTACACTAGACAAAAATGTTGGTTATTGTAAGATCACTTTCCTTTAGATGATGGCAGGGGTCTATCAGGCATATTACCTCACTAATACTTATTGGGTGATTTTTTAAAATATTTTTTTAAAAGATTTTATTTATTTATTTGACAGAGAGCACAAGCAGAGGGAGAAGCAGTCTCCCAGCTGAGCAGGGAGCCCGATGGAGGGCTCAATCCCAGAACCCTGGGATCATGACCTGAGCTGAAGGCAGATGCTTAACTGACTGAGCCACCCAGGTGCCCCCTGATTGGGTGATTTCTGATTACTGGTTTAATATTCTATTCCTGGGAGAGGTAGAAAGTATAATTCAGTCTTTGTTGACATGGGACTTAATAACTCCATTTTGGGCCTTTTTTCCTTTTTTTTTTTAAAGTAGGCTCCACAACCAGCATGGAGCTTGAATGCATGACCCTGAGATGAAGACCTGAGCTGAGATCAGGAGTTGGACACTTAACTGAGCCACCCAGGCACCCCCTGGTCTAGTAGGGGTATATTGTGTGATCTTAATTTTGTGGCATAAAGAAAAAACACATAGATCGGTAGATATGGATATATAGATGTGGAGGAGAGAAGATTAAAAGGCTTAAAACAAAGAGAATTTTGGACAAATGCATAAGTAAAAATATAAGACTGCTGTTGTAAAGGCCTGGAGGAAGGATGGAATAAAACTAGGCTAATGTTTTATTAAATTTATTAAATTTATTAATTCTAAGCTATCAAGGATTATTACCAGTTCCTTAGGAAAACTGGGGACTGATATTTATATTTTATTTAAGAATTTGTAAGAAATGGGGGTGCCTGGGTGGCTCAGTCGTTAAGTGTCTGCCTTCGGCTCAGGTCATGATCCCAGGGTCCTGGGATGGAGCCCTGCATAGGGCTCCCTGCTCGGTGGGAAGCCTGCTTCTCCCTCACCCACTCTCCCTGCTGTGTTCCCTCTCTCGCTGTCTCTCTCTCTCTGTCAAAATAAATAAATAAAAATCTTAAAAAAAATAAATTAACAAAATATGTAAGAAATGATTTTGAGATCTTAAAAACAAATAATACTGCTTTCTATGATTTATACTCACAAATTTTTTATAACTCCCTAATTCCCATTATTCAGTGTATTTGTATATACACTTGTTTTTCTTCCTGTAAATTTAAAGATTAAACCTTTCAGAACGGAAAGCAAAAATTACTATTGTACTAGTTGATTTCGCTCAGATATAGTGTCTAGCATATACCAAATACTACATGAATATTTGTTAGATGAATAAATGATCATGGAACTACATAAAAATGAAGAAAGAACCAGAAGAACATAATGTATTCTACATACATCCCAGCTGTAAATGAGATCAAGTGGGCTAATACAATCCTTTCTGTCTCAGAATGTTCTGAAAGACTTTTTGAAAAAGAGACTCACTAAAAAATTATAATTTATTTTAATTCTCCTTTCTGCAGAAGGGTTGCTGACTCATGAAGATGCTTTTTGATTCTTTAAGATTTTTTTTTTTTTTTTTTTTTTAGTAACCTCTTTGCCCATTGTAGGGCTGGAACTTACAACCCCAAGATCAAGAGTTGCATGCTTTGCTGACTGAGCCAGCCAGGCAACCTGAACCTTTAAGATTCTTCTGCAAAGTTTAAAAAATATCCCAGGGGCGCCTGGGTGGCTCAGTCGTTAAGCGTCTGCCTTCGCCTCAGGTCATGATCTCAGGGTCCTGGGATTGAGCCCCGCATCGGGCTCCTTGCTCTGCAGGGAAGCCTGTTTCTCCCTCTCCCACTCCCCCTGCTTGTGTTCCCTCTCTCACTCTGTCTCTCTTTGTTAAATAAATAAATAAAATCTTAAAAAAAAAAAAATATCCCAGTTAGGGGCACCTGGGTGGCTCTGTTGGTTAAACGTCTGACTCTTGATTTCTGCTCAGGACATGATCTCAAGGTTGTGGGATTGAGCCTTGCCTTGGGCATGGAGTCTGGTTTGAGAGTCTCTCTCCCTCTGCCCCTCCCCCCGCTTGTGTGTGCGCTAAGTAGATAAAATCTTAAAAAAAATAAAATCCCAGATAAAAAATAGAGTTCTTTAGCATTTTAAAAATAGCTTTGTTGAAGTATGATACATGTACCATAAAATTTACAGTTTGATCACTTTTAGTAAATTTATATACTTGCACAACTGTTACCACAGTCCACTTAACCTCCATCATTCCAAAAAGTTCCTTTGGGTCCATTTACAACCACTCTTTACTCCTAACCCCATCTGACCACTGATCTGCTTTGTGTCTCCATAGTTTTGCCTTCTCTACAATTGCATGTAGTCACACAATATGTAGTCTTATGTGTCTGAATTTCACTTTGCATGTTTTTTGAGGTTTGTTTATATTGTACATAGCAGTACTTTGTTCCTTTTTATTTCTAAGCAGTAATTCCATGGTAAGAATATATGCATTCTACCTACCAGTTGATGGACATTAAGACTGTTTTCCTGTTTTTGGCTATTATGCATAATGTTGCTGTGAATCTTTGCATGGATATGTTTTTATTTAGGAGTGAAATTGCTGAGTTGGTAAGTGTATGTTAACAGAAAAACAAAACTGCCAAACTTTTTTTTTTTTGAGATATTAATTAATTAATTAATTAATTTTAGAGATAGAGCAAGTGGGAGGAGGAGCAGGGGAAGAGGGACAAGCAGACTCCGAGCTAAGTGCAGAGTCTGATATGGGGCTTGATCTCATGACCCTGACCTCAGGGCCCTGATCACGAACTGAGCAGAAATCAAGAGTTGGATGCTTGGGGGCGCCTGGGTGGCTCAGTCGTTAAGCGTCTGCCTTTGGCCCAGGTCATCATTCCAGGGTCCTGGGATTGAGCCCTGCTTTGGGCTCCCTGCTCAGTGTGGAGCCCGCTTCTCCCTCTCCCACTCCCCCTGCTTATGTTCCCTCTCTCACTGTCTCTCTGTCAAATAAATAAATAAATAAATAAGTAAGTAAATGAATAAATAAAAAATAAAAAATAAATAATAAATAATAAATAAATAAATAATAAATAATAAATAATAAATAAATAAAATAAAAAAAATAAAAAATAAAAAATAAAAAAAAAATATATATAAATATCTATCTATCTATCTATCTATCTTAAAAAAAGAGTTGGCTGCTTAACTGGCTGAGCCACCCAGGTGCCCCATGCCAAACTTTTCTAAAGTTGCTGTATACCATTTTACATTTCCATGAGCAGCATGTGAGGGTTTCAGTTTTCCACATCCTTGCCTTGTTAATACTTCATATTGTCAGTCTTTTAATTTTAGTCATTCTAGTGTATGTATAGTGGTTATTGTGGCTTTAATTTATATTTCCCCAGTGCATAATGGTATTGAGTATTGTTTTATGTGCTTATTCAACCATTTCTCTTGGGTCAAGTACCTACAGATTTTTTGCCCCTTTTAAAATGGGT